GGTTATGTGTAATAGAAGGATATATAAGGGGTATGATAAGCCCATTATAGGGACTTTGGGGGCGAAGGGGTTTAGGGTAACTACTACAAGGATCTCAAGGGCTGTTCTGAGGACTATCAGGGCTTTGGGGACTGAGCCCGGGTTTGGGGCTTATGGTGAGAGGTTAGAGTGACCATGAGTATTGCAAACCCAGAGACTCCAATATTCCTTAATTAAGCAATATTCCGTTAATTATAGTAGGGTCCTTAATATGATTTAAGGTATATTCCTTAATTAAGGGATATTGGAGTCTCTGGGAATAATACAAGAATTACTATCAGGGTTACTACAGGGGTTAAGGCTGTATTACAGGATCCATAAGGCCTAGAAGGGCTCCTCTGGGAGACCAGGGGGTTCAGCGGTACTACGGTTTAGGGTTTTAGGGTTTAGGGTTTAGGGTTTAGGGTTTAGGGTTTAGGGTTACTCTTGACAAGGGCTCCTACTACAGGGGGACTAACCGAGTTCTGCTGGGGTTTAGTGTTTCAGGGTTTCGCGCTTCAACCAACAAATGTACAGTTTATCGGAAGAGGAGGCCAACCCTAAACCCTAAACCCCTAGAAGGTTCATACACCCCTGCTCAAACGAAAATGTTTCATGGCCGATGACCCTTGGGCTTCTAGGTTCTTGGCTCAGGATTTAGGGCGTAGGGCTTGAAATTATGGGTTTCCGGCTTAGCGATGTTTTAATTTTTGGGTTCCGGAGTTTGGAGTGTTCTCTAAACCCTTAAACCCTCAACCCTTAACCCCTAAGCATCCTTATATAGCCCTAAACCTTGATTGTTGGTTTAGGGCAGGGAAGCTCCCTAAACCCGAAAGCCCTAAACCCTAAGCCTTACACCTTGAGCCCTAAATCCTAAACCCTAAGCCCTAAACCCGAAGCCCTAAACCCTAAGTCCTAAACCCTAAGTCCTAAACTCTAAGTCCTAAACCCTAAGCCTAAGCCCTAAACCCTGCCCAAGGAACCCTGAAGCCTAAACCCCCCTGGTTGCAAGCCCGAGCCTGCCAAGCCACGCCACAGCTGAGGCAAATGTTCTGCACGGAGGACCCGACCTAAGGCTCACAACGGTTTAAAACTTATGTGTTATATATGTTATATATATATATATATATATATATTAAAAATATTTATTTATTCGGGTTTTGGGTTTAAGGGTTTAGGGTTTAGGGCTCACAGCGGTTTGGGGTTTGGGGTTTTGGGGTTAAGGGTTTAGGGCTCAGAACGGTTTCGGGTTTGGGGGTTTAGGGTTGCCATCGCAACTGCTAGGGGTTCTACTTTGCCCTTATGGGCATTCATGGGTTTCTGAAATGTTTCTGGTATCAAGGCTGCTATTTTTCCATCGAGCTCCTGCAAAGATTCAAAAAGTGTTCGCATCTCCTTTCAGAAGCGCCCCCGGCGCGGCGTGCTAGGAGTGGACGGGGAAGACCCAGCAGCCAGACCTGGCGCCGGAGAATTACAGCAACTGTGTCAAAATGGAGGAGTGTTGAGGGGTTTAATAAGGTTTTAGTATCTGAGTCCGCGAGAGAGAGAGAGAGAGAGAGAATAAGGTTTTAGACAAGTTACGGCATTATAGGGGCTTTGCGAGTCTTTGAAATGTATCTCTTCGATGGTCAGAACTCTAGGATCCCTGTCTTAATCCTTGTTAATGGAGCCGGTATGTGTGACGGGTGTTCAAGAGCAAGCGGTTTGTTTTTGCGGCTTTGTACCTATGCGTATCCCGCCTTGGGCATATACCTTACCTGAAGATCTTTGCAGCAGATCTTAAGCAACACTGCGTTTGGCCCATGGCCCAATCCTCCAAACGGCAACCCTAGGTTCCTGCGAAGACGAGACAACAACTTGACATCCGCCCAGGTGTGCCGGCTCTACGGCGGTTTGTTTCGGCCTTTCAGCACCCTGGCCACGAATCCCAGGCTTCGGTATTACATTACGGACACCGTTGATCACTAACGCATTAATGATGCAGGTACTGTTTGGCCCCCGCCGGCCAGAATCATTTTACGGCTAACTACTACTGTGAATACATGCTGTGAATACAGTTGTGGCCGTAGAACTAGCAGAAGTAGCAGCCGCGGCAGCAGCGGCAGCAGCAGCAGCAGCTGCAGCTGCAGCAGCAGCAAGAGGTGGTAGCGGTAGTGGTAGTGGTGGCGGTGGTGGTGGTGGCGGTGGTGGTGGTAGTAGTAGTAGTAGTAGTAGTAGTACTGTAGTAGTAGTACTGTAGTAGTAGGTGGTGGTGGTGGTGGTAGTGGTAGTGGTGGTGCTGGTGCCAGTATACCCTTACACCAGTAGGAGCAGCTACTGTAGCTGTGGCTGTAGCTGTAGCACTAGCAGCGCCAGCAATCTCACCACTGTCCCACACCGTGTCGTGCTCGCAGCCTCCGGCAAGCTTCAAGTCCAGGCAGGGGTACCGCCGACTGTCTCCTGGAGCGCTGCTGCTTGAGGCGATTGGGATCAAGAGGAGAATTGGGGACGCCTGAAGGCCGAGATCTTAGATTTGAGGCCTTGTATATTGAATATAGGGCAAGTAGATGCCGTGCGATATTTCAATAAGAACTGCAGTAGGGCCAAGTTCAGTTCTTGAAATATGGCACGGCATCTGCTTGCCCCCTAACGCCGCAATCTTTTCACCCGTCAGAAAGATGCCACGAACGATCTACACAACCCTTAGGTCCAAGTGCCCCCTGAAATGTTCTTGGGTGGTGCTTCTTCAATTGTTTCCACACAACGCCCCATCCCTGCGTAAACGCACGCAGGGACGAGTGACGGCAACGTACGTTTGATGTGGCCTTGCAAAAACCAACGACATGTCAGGTTCTGGCAACATGCGTTTTGACTCGTGTGTACCGAGGCTTTAGGCATGTTGATGTTCGTGGGGACGAGGGAAATTCCCACATACGTTTTTCGCGGTCTGTCTGGGAAAAAATCATAATCCACTTCGTGTACGCAGAGTTTTCGAATTGCTTTGCGTAGCCATTTGCTTCGGTTTGTTGTGGAAAGCCTTGCCGCAAGACAAAATTTGCGTTTTTGTGTTTACCGAGGGTTTCGGCACCTGCAGAATTCGTGAATTCGCAGGCGCCGGGAATGCCGATGCCACCGATATATTCGGCACATGAAGTAAGGCAAACACCATATATTGCCGATAGAACCGGCATGTCTTGCTTGTTTACATGAGGTATTGGAGCTGATTTAATTTGCAAAAAATGTTGCCCAACAAAGCCCGGAATAGGATGATATTGACAAGCCATGTGGCAAAAAACGCTGCAGGCAACAATGTTCCTTTTCTGGTGGGACTTACAAGGGCTTCTTAGGTTTTCCTTTTAGGCTGCCATCCTTTGCAGCGGGTGGTTTATGGATTTGCCCAAACTGCACTATGGCTGCGGCAAGTTGTTGAGACAGCAGTACAACAACCAACGACGACGACAACAGCAACAGCAACGACAACGACAACGCTAAAGGCAACGACAACACCAACAAACAGGCGTTTAGGGTTGAGGGTGTTTAGCTTTGATGATCGTTCCTCAATGCTTGGCCTACACCTTTTCCCCAAATCCTAAGCCTTCAATCCTAAACCACTCCAAATCCTCGAGCACCGCCGTCTTGGTCCGAAGGCGGCAGAAGCCGAGCCGACGGGAAGGCGAGTTCATGCGATATATTGGGCTTCGGGGTGCAGGGTTTTGGAGAGCCCGCTTTACAGATACTGAACGACATCTTGTTGAATCGCGCCATAAACCCACTACCCCAGACTGGACTGGAGAGTTGTTCCCCGATACCTACCCAAAAAGATACTTACAATTATTCTGATGAGGTTTAAATAGAATTCTGACATATCCTTATTCATCCCGTTTTTCTAGGTCAGCAGGGTCTCGGTAGCTGACCTATTGAACTCCTGCTGCCGCAGGCAGATTGGAATGCATACGGTCAACCCCTACTCCGAATTCCCTAAACCCTAAACCCATAAGGCATACGCCTTCGAGCAGGTTCACCATGGCTATGGAGCATTATTGTGCGAGCATGTATGGTGGCTTGGCGAAGAACAGTAATATAGGGGCCTCAATAATTAGAATAGTGCTTTGGGGACCATTATAGTTTACAATAGGGAACTCCCCAAATAGTATCGATAATTATTCAGGCTCCTGCAGTACCTGTTCTTTTTGAATGCCTCGTGCAACAGGCTAAGGTGGCTGCCACGTGGGACTGCTACAGGTTTGATTTTTCATCTTTACCGATACATACTGTTGATGATATAAATCCTGCATTAGCTTAAGGACCTTAAACTATCGGTATTGCTCTCATTATGGGTAATGCAGGGCTTATATCATCAACCGTGCCACACTTGTGACACTTCGTCCGGTCGAGCTGGCTTTGTAGTAAGGTTTTGGATTTAGGGCTTAGGGTTCAAGTCCAGTAACGGTTTAGGGCTCAGCGCCAACATAGATAGAGTTGTTGATTCGCTTTTCCCAGCCTAAACCCTAAACCCTAAATGCACTCCTAAAGCTGAATCCTGGAAGCAAGCCCTAAGATCCTAAGCCCGCGATTCAGGCAAGAAGGACGTCTTGCTTCATGAAAGTGCGTCACGGCTTGAAGGATGTTATGTGTTCTATCTGAGCGGCTGATCCTATAGTAAAGGCCCTGAGCCCAAAGCCCCAAAGTTGCCATCTCAAGACGAGGCGTACAGCCCTCAAAACCCGAAGCACTAATCCAAATTACCCAAATCACCAAACCATAAATTCGTCTTGATGCTGAGTGCAGCTTCGGGGGCTGAATCTGTTTTGTGCCCATGTGACCAAGCGCCTTTGCCTGGTCTTGCCGAGTTGCGAGCCGCAATAAAACACACAAATAAATCCTAAACCCCTAAGCGTTGACCCTAAAATGATCCCACTCCCGAAACAGACCCCGAAACTTCGGACGCCAGGCCCCGTGATAACCTCACAGCTTCAGCCCTGAAGCCCGAAGCCCCAGACGGCAACAGTCCTAAACCTCGGAGCCTTTCCACTTCAAACCCTCACCCCTAAGAATCCTAAAGGACGCTGAAGTTCCGAATCGGAATGTAGCACGGCTGACCCTTGTGTTGGGGTTCAGTTAGAACAGTTTGAACGAAAGAACCTTGCAACATAACCCAAGACAGAGCCACTGCAAGGCAGCCCAGACCCTGTAGTCCAGTCTAGCGCTATACCGTTACGCGCTTGTGTGCTACAAGATCGAACCCTTTTGGGGCTCCAGGTTGCCCTATGTCTAATCTCCAAACCCTAGCACGCAAGCCCTCAGAGGACACCCTAATTTAGGGGCCTAAATAACTACCTATATTATTTTGCAGGTTCCTAATTATAGTTATAGTATAGGAAACCCAAAACCCTATTTCAATTATTAGGGCTCCTACGCCCTAAACTCAACCCCACGTGCCCCGAAATCCTGACGGCTCAGCCGGCCTGGACAGTCCGAGCGCGCGCGGCTGAACCCGAAGAACTACTACTACTACTACTACTACTACTACTACTACGACTACGACTACGACTACGACTACTACTACTCTTGTTACTAAACTCTAGTACTTAAGCTCTTAACCAACAAAGCCCATAACGCCGCAAAGCCTTCCGTTTTCCGATCCGAGGATTCTATATATTATTTATGTTCATGTTCATACCAGCAATAGTAATACCAATCATCATCATTATAACATTAATAACAATAGTACTGATGATAGCAGTCAGCCCCGAATTCGAGAGAGAGATAGAGAGAGAGAGACTCGGACCTGAAACAACCGTCCACGCGTTCAGCCGTTAAACCCTAAACCCTAAGCCCTAAACTTTTGGACACCGGCGAGAGGAAAAGGGCCGTGCAAAAAAAAACTCCTAAAGTGAATTCGAGGATGACCTCCTTGGCTTCCTGACCTCTCTTGCCGATGCTTTCTTAGCGAAGAAGAAGGCCGGACCGGGAACTTCGAGTCAGCTCCTTGGGAGCTTTGGGTTTAGGGGTTTAAGGTTT